CTAAATGTTACTTTCTTCACCACAACTGCACAGCTTTCTGTATAGACGAGGAAATCAAGCCTTAGAGAGATTAAGAAACTCCCTCCAGGTCCAGAAGTTAATAAGTGGTAAAGCCACAAATCCATCCAGATAGAACTTGTCATTGCTTCCTGGTAGGAATAAATACCAATATTTTCAGTTGCTATCTTTCATCTTCAGCTACATACAATCAATCACTTCACACCTTTTGCTTAAAATCTATAGAACATCCTGCCAACCTCCTCATTGCCCCAATCCAGCCTTAAATATTTCCATCTGTCTAACCACTTTCAGTAAATAAATTACAGCAGCACTAATATTTACTTCAAACCTATTGTACATATGGTCCCTCAAAACACCAGTGGCACAGGTCAACGAGCAAGCAGTCCCAAGCAGTTCCAATGGCTTCGCAGAAGGCTTATAACCAATGCTTGGTCCCCAAACCTAGGGCCTGGCCAACCTTGTTGAGGATAGCCCTTGGAGTTCCTTCCTGGCTCATTCAGTGCTCTGAGCTTCCTACCAGGCTTAAAGAATGTCACATTCTTCCATTTCCCTCTGATTTTGCATCTGCTCTGTCTTCTGCTGGGTGCAGTTTACCCTGTCTGTGGGCTCACACAAGGCCTGCGTTAGTTGTCTCCCATGCCTATTCTTCATCTTGGATGCCACTGCATCATTACTCTCTGCTGGGTCAACTTAGACTCCATGCATTTGCTTGCCTCTTTCCAAAGAGACTGTTCCCTTCTCTAGACCAGAATATAAACTGTGAGCTTAGATTGAGGGAGACACTGGGATAGAGTAATGATGGGGACAGAAAGGAGTAAGATGGGGCAAAGAAAGCTATGATTGACACTAAATGTGTGATCCTGATGTTTCCAGGGTCCTTCTAACACTGAACTAGGCACAGAGCCAGAGACACAGAGAATGTTAAACAGGATGAAAAATGACCATGTTGTGTGTGTATGTGTACCATTCATACATATACAGTATCTATACATAGCATGATTACACATAATATATTCTACATGTACAGTATGTACACATATATGTATATAGTGTATATTTAATGTATTAGTGCATATATGGTGCATATATAGTACATAAATCTATTCATGTGTACATATAGAATAGTGTATATAGATGGATGTAGCTTGTGTATATGATGTGCATATATAGTGTATGTATAGTATATATTATACACACTGTATATGTATAGTGTATTTGGTTTGTTGGCAAAGCAAGGGTTAATAGACTTTTATCTGCAGTGGGTCTAAATGGGAAGGGAACAGAAGCCTACTTTTATTTTTGATTGTTCTCGTTTTGAATGAACTTGCACATTTCCATGGGGTGTGCACAGGTGCATGCATGTACTCTTCGTGTGTGTATTTATAGTTCAATGCAACAGGAGATTCACAGAGTACATTAGGAGATGGCTAGAAGAACACTCATTGCACACAATAGTGATCTTTTTCAATAAAAAGATCAGTGTCTTGTGCTTAGCTTCTTGTGGTGGTGAAAGAGGAACACTGAAGGGAGAAGAAGGGATGGAGAATTAGGAAGGAAAAGGTCTGGAGAAACCTCACCAAAGCCAAGAAAGAACCACATCCTAGGATGGGGGTGGTTAGCTAAACAAATGACTAATTTTTTTAAAAAGTCAAGTAGCAGGAAAACCAAAGGGGAAGAGATCATTGGATTTAACAATTAGGCAGATGGATTGTGGTGAGCTGGAGGAAGTCTCTGGAAGAGATGAGGTAGGTTGACTCGGTGAGGAAGTAGATTAAGAGAAATGGAAATTTCTGTCTGTTTCCAAAACTATTGCCCCATGAGGATAACAGAGGAGCAACTTGTGATAAAAAGAATCCGCGGCTCGGTTTTCCTTGGCGCCTGGTAAGACAGGACAGCTCATGCTTGATAAACAACATTTTAGGTGAGGAAACCAACACAGAGGAATTAAGTAACCCTCTGAAGTTGCAGAGCTAGTAAGTCCCAGAACCCATGTTTCACTCAAGTAATCTGGCTTCAGCATTTATGTTCTTGGCCAGAAACAAAGAGACATATAGAAAACACAGTTCTTGACCTGCCTGCTGCTTTCTTGGGTCATATCAAGAAGTAGGCATAGAGCTAGAAGAAGGCATAAATGTTAAATAGGACCCAAAAAATGGTAGTGTGGGTGTGGATAGACGTAGACTACATCGGCATGGCTGTTATATCTAGGCTGGCCTAAGTCCCTGGCTCTCCCGAGCTCTCTCTCTGTGTGGAAGCTTTCACTCCAGCGACATCACTGTCAAAGCAGTGGGCCAGTGGAGCACTGGTTTCAGCCACAAGGATGAGATGGAAGAGGAGGAAGAACCCATTGTTGGCACAGAGGGTTTGCCTCCTTCCAGAAGTTGTGGAAATTATCATAAACATCAGAAGAGGGATAGTGGACACCATGAGGCCAAACTTGAGGAGAAATTTCTCCAGATTTCTTGGGAAAAGGCACCTAAGTACCAACCCTTCCACATCTGAAACTTGGGCTGGTGGCTATGATGATAACCTCATCTGGGTCACATTTCTCATTGCTGGAGCAAAACACTTGACACCAAAAATGTAATGAGAGCTTTACTTTGGCGCAAGTTTCAGCCCATTTTGACCAACTCCAAAGAGGAAACAGAAAGGCATGGTGAAGGAGAAGCCTCACCTCCAGGCAACCCATAAACCAAGAGAGAAAGCAGGAGCCTGGAGCAGATTCCACCCTTCCAGGTTTAACCCCTAGCAACCCAATGCTTCTGACAAGACCCCATCTGCAGACAGTACCCTGTAATCCAATCACCTTTCAAACACCCCACCAACTAAGCACTAAGGCACTGAGGAGACAAGGAGGTATGGACCACATCAGTAGCCTGTATCCCTCAGAGTTGTCACAAAGACCAAGTAACATATGGTTCAAAGTGCCTCCCTGTGTAACTGTTCATGATTAGGACAAAACTCTCAAACTATTTGAAAAATTGACCATCCTTCCCACCTCCCTAGGTCCATTTCTCAAGGCTAAAAGTCTGACATATCAACTTGAGAAAGGTTCTGAATGCTAACATTTAGCACACAAGCAATTTGCCTCAGATCTAAAACACCCTTGTATACTAAGGCAACATGACACAATCTTAAAAATCTCTGATTTCAGATGGTCATCAGCCAAGACTTACAGGGCAGAGGTTTGGTGCCTGGATCTGCTCACAACAGCTAACAATGGCACACATATTCCACACCTTCCTACTTAGTCCTCAGCTCTTTACCCGCTCACCACCTATACCATGGTATTAGCCCCCACCACCAATTTGCATTTTCACCTCACAGGTCACTTCCTCTTTTGGCAGATTTCACTTATATGAATCCATGTGATCAAGTTCCATCTCTGTCCTGCTTTGGGCAGAGTGACTTCAGTCTAGAAGCACAGGGGACACACGTTGGAAAGAACTGTATCCCTCAGTGTTGTCACATAGACCAAGTAAAATAATGGAGCAAAGTGCCTCCCTGTGTAACTGTTCGTGCTTATGACAAAACTCTCAAACTGTTTGAAAAATTGACTATCCTCAATTCTGGCTGCCCACTGCTAATCGTTTACGAGGGCCTGGAGATATTTCAAGGAGTCTCTTGGCATACTGTCTCTGGCATACTGTGCAGACCGGGTCTTTACACAGGTTTTCTTATATTTAACAAGATAGTGTGGTGCATATAGCTTGAGCCTAAGATGACCTGCAAAGCTATGGTCGTTACAGACTTTGGTCTGAATCATTTTCATTTTTGACTGAACCCTACATAAACTGCACTCCAAAACTGATGTTAAATAATGAAGCAGGCTGAAAGGGGTCACAGCTGGGTGGCCAGAAACTGGGATATTCAAGTCACCAGCGCTCTGCAAGAATATCTGGGATACCATCTCTGTGCAATCCAGAAGCCAGGGTGCAGGCCAAATTTCCCTTCATCTCTCTTTGAGAAAGGGCAGTATATTTTGCATAAATGCCTTCAGAAAATGAAATATACAGAAAGTCCAGATCTCAGTGGCAATATGATGTTGGTCATTTGAACAGGTTGTGGTTGCATCATGAAAACCAGACTCGCTTAAAATCAGATTTCCACATCAATTAGCCATTCTAATGCACATATACCAGCTTTGCCAGTTTTGCAAAGCACGATGCTGTTTTATAAACCCCCTGCACACTCCACTCAGGAGTCTCCAGGAACCTAGGAAATCTCCAGTGTAAATATCTTTGTAAAGCTCTAGAGAATAATTCTTGCATTTGTTCACTATGCAGAAGTCAACTGAGAAAGATTCAAAGTGCTAGTTTTTCCCTTTGTGAAATCTCTAGACCAACAGAGATGACCCAGCCCCGTCTGCCCTTTTTTGCTGCACCGCTCTGCCCTCAGAATGCACCCTTCGACTGCTGGTTTAAAGCAGCGGGGCTGAGGGAAGTGAGGGACACATCCCGCCCCCCATTTCCTTTGAGATTTCCATCTATAAAATGATCAGTGAAACAGGAGTCAGTAGTTGTTTGAGTCATGTTCTTTTTTGTTTTCATTTTAAAAGCATAACTAACATTTTTCAACATAAATATGCATTTCTATGAAAAATAGAAAAAAAGGACTACAATCTTGGTCACTGCCCGGCAGGAACAAGTTTGGTTATAGATTCCAAGGTCAGATCCTCCCTTAAGTTACGCTCTTTTTGCTCTTTCAGCCCCTTTTGACAGGAAAGCCTTTGTTCCTCAAAGCAATCTTTTTAGAGACGATTTAAATATGCCATTGATGGATGTCTAATTTACAACCAGGACTCAAGGCTATTGAAATGAGCTAGAGCTTGACACCAAGAATACAACTGTGTGGACATACATACATACATTGTATAAATTAGTCTGGTTGCAAAAAAAATCAGATCTTATCTATCAGTTTTCATCAGTTAATAAATTACCAGTATTAGAAAAGAAGGGAAAACAAGACAAAACTCTCACGAGTGTTTCTTCTGACTCAAGTGCGAAGCGCACAGGAGCGTGCAGTCCACAGTGCACTCAGCACTGCCGCAGCCCTGCGCCGGGAGGGGTGCAGGCCGCAGGGTGCCCAGCATTCTGTCCCAGTGTGTAAAGTAGGGAGCGAAATTGCAGTTAAACTGGGAGTGGTGCAGGTCGTGGTGCGCCACGCCCCCGTACCAGCCGCAAGGCACCAGTCTGTGCGTGGACCACGGGAAGTCGTAGCCCGAGTGGTCCTCCACCGACAGCCAGATGTTGATCAAGTGGAAAGTCAGGACGGTGAGCGGGTGGCACCCGAGCAGCTTGACGTTCATCACGTCGAAGGAGCCCAAGGAAAACAGTTCCCAGGCGCTCATGTACTGCGTGGCCAGCGCGAACGGGGGTGCGTTCTGGTGGTGCAACTTGTGGAAGGTGCGGTACAGCCAGGGCACCTTGTGATGCAGCACGTGCCACACGAAGAACTCGGCGTCGAAGAGCAGCAGGCAGAGCAGCACATCGCGCAGGAGCTGCAGCAGCTCAGGGGCTTCGGGCGGCAGCTGCGCGGGGCTGCGGACCCAGTGCAGAAGCGTCACCGGGAACACGAACACCAGGTGCTGGAACAGCGTCTGCCCCAGGCAGGGCAGCAACTGCCGTGCGGACGGCGAAAAGTCGGGATGGATCTTGTAGCGTCGCAGCGCGGGCACCCAGGGACACAAGAAATCCAAGGCCACAAAAGGCAGGCAGAAGCCCAGGTAGGTGGCGATCGCGAAGACGACCGGGAACAGGGGCGACTGGAAGAATGACTCTGAGGTCCTCACATGGTCCCAAAGGGGCTGCAGGAGCCGCTGGCCCGAGCTGCACGGGACCTGGAGCCCCGAGCAGTTGTGAGTGCTCATGGTGAAGCCGAGTCCCGCAGCGGCCACGGTTCACGGCTCCAACTTTTCTTGCCTCTCGAGGCCCCGCCCCGGTGACGTCAGCGGGCTTCGCACGCCTTCCCAGCTGCAGGAAACTTAAACGCGTAACCCAAGAAGTTGTGCTTACAAGCTATAAAATACAGGAATCTAGGGCCGAACCGAATTGTCTTATATATGCGCGTATCGGTGACGCTTACACGCTTTCCATGCACATGCAGAATTATGCTCCCAGTCTGCGGTTTACACGATGCAGCCGTACAGATCTACATGGAAAGTTGCCACGAGTTTGGAAGACTCGGTCTACTTGCATCATCATCGCTCCCAAATTCATATTTGCAGCTAGGAAGATGCACCTAGCTGCTTCCCAGTGCTTTCGTGTAGATGCCTGGCACCGCTCGGGTCTTCGCGCGCGCCATGCCGGGTTCCGCGCGGCGAAGGGTTCGCCTGCGGAGGGGAGTGCCGGGCCTGTTGCCCGGAGTGGGGTCGGATCTGAAGTCCTGCGGACGGGGCGGGCAGCCGGGCCCCAGGGCAGCTGCTGGCGGGCTCCCAGCAAGGCGCCGAACAACGCACACAGACCCACGAGGCGCTTTCGGGGGAAACGCTGGGATTAAAGTCCAAGGTCGGCACAGAGCCAGCTAAAAAGACATCGTATCCTGGGGATGGAGGGAAAGGACTGAACTGGCAAACCGCTCGCTTTTGCCCGCTTGGAGGTTCTGGAGCCCTGCACGCTGGGAAGGGGCCCCAGCTCCCCTCCTGCTCTGCCCTCGACTGCAGCCCTGGTCCTCTTTCCCCACTCCGTCCCTCGTCTCCATGAACCCGCCCAAGCAGCAGAACCTGTTCACCCCACTGCTTTTTGGCCACCAGACTTCGGTGATTGGGCCAGGAATCAAACACGAGAAAGTCTGTATGAGCGAAGCTCTGGAGAGACTTCCCGATAGACATTAAAAACAAAAACAAAAAACAAAACAACACCAGAAACCCTTGACCTTAACCCAAGTGGGTGGGCTCACAACAGGAGAGAGCCTTAGAAGATCTCTCATGAAGGAAGATCAGCTTGCGTCATTCGTAGTGAGCCCATAACGTCGCAGGACACTCAAGCTTAAACATGCAGGATTGCTCTGATACTAGAAACCCACATTATAACTAAAGAACGAAATGAAAGCTAGGAAATAGGAAGTAGGAGGTAGGGCTTTCTCAGATGGAAAGAAATCAAGAGATGGGGAGAGAGTAGGACTGAAAAAAAGGAATCAAGGTGCAACTCCACACGGAAATGTACACTATGGTGTGCAAACATGGACTAATAATTATTTTATTTTATTTTTAAAAGTTGCGGACAGTAACTTTGAAGCCAGGGACTGATCTAAATCCCAGCTTCTGCCCTTTGTATCTGTGAGTCTGAGTTCGAGGTGCACTCCATGAAATTTGCATTTTCTCATCCACCCAAAAGGAAACAACAGTAATAATCATGTTCTTCCCTGCCTGTTGTGAGCATTTAATGGAAAAATAAACACACCCACCATATGATGCCTAGCAGCAGCTAAGCATTTTTAATCAAAGGATTTCATCTAATCCTCAAGAGCTGTGTGTCCCCTCTTCCCGTGGTTAGAAGCACACATTCTTCTTATTATTGTGGATTTCCAGCAGTAAAACTGCAGTACCCGGAAACATATTATTTTAAATTTGTACTTCACATTTTATCTAAAGAATAATTGAGCTAAGTGAACTTAAAATTAAATAAGATTATGGCATGAGAAATAAAGATATAAAGCCATATATTATGAAGAATAAGTACTGCAAGAACACAGACTAAAAAAAAAAAAAAAGAACATAGACTGGCACCCAGCGTTAAAATACAATAATATTAAGGAAATCTATGCTATAGTTCAATTCATAAAATATTTGTGATATGCACATCATAATGGTCAAATTCATAACTCAGAGGCTCCCACGTTGGGTTCCAGATCTGCCACTGATGGCACTTGGGATAGTCCTTGGACACTCACTCTTGAGATTCCCTAGAGCAGCGGTGGCGAACCTATGACACAAGTGCTGCAGCAGACTGTTTGCTATCCCTGAAGGCTCTGGAAGGTTCGCCATCTCTTTGTAGATCATAGATCTTGGCGTGATAGCACCTTTCTTTTGAAACTCCAGCATGCTGTAAGAGTATTATCCTGCTTGTCTAGTCGCTGTTCAAGATCTAAAGGGCCATCAGCAGCCTTGAGCTTCTTGCCAGCCAGTGCAGAGAAGAGAAGGTAGATTTCGAATGTAACTCTGATGTTTGCATAGTAGCAAAAACCAGGTACCCTACAGGTCCTTGACCTCTTTACTGGTTGGTTCCTTCCGGAGAGACAAAGATAAGCTCCTTCAGCCTCTGTCCTCCCCAACCCAGGGCTGTTTTCTCTTCACTTTCAGGGCAACTGAAGAACTTTCTTCTTTCTCATTCTTGGTCAACTAGAGTGTCTGCCTTGATACAGTATCTCAGAGGAGAGAAAGAATTGCTGGTCCTTCACTCTTGTGCCCCCCTGGATGCTCTGAAGAGACCATGAGATTTATCAGAATTAAAAATGTATTATCTTAATAAATATCATTCAAATTGAGCCTCACAAAATTAAGTCAGCAGTCAACTTTCTTTGGAGCACACAGTGTCCTTTCCCTGGCCAGAGTCGTGGGTGTTTGGATTCTGTTACAGAGTTTTATGCATGGCTGGCATTGGCAGTTGAGCACAGTTTGGACTTAACTACTGCACTTGCTGATGGGACTGCTACTCTGAGCCCCTAGGCCCATGAAATTGATTTGCCCAGCTTTGGTGGGTCTGTCCTTTGATCTTGCTAGAACAGCCTTCTGGTGCTAATGACCTCAAAATGAAGCTTGACCTAGAAGTCAGGCTCCAGTCTGCCTTTCCCAGCCCCCAGCAAAGCCCTGACCTTGCAGCACCTGCAGAAGAGCAGGCAGCTTCTCAGATGTTCTGGCACAGGAAGCGCACAGGACAGAAGTATGCTCCTCTCTCAGGGAAACTGATCAGGGAAGATCTTTTCAGTCATCTCTCTCTGTCATGGAGGATGTTGAAAAGTAGTCACAATATGTCACAGGATCAAAATCAGTCAAAACTAAATTGACCAGAATAAAATTGAATCCTATACAGTGACTACAGCAGAGCCACTATATGAATTTGGCACAATCACACCTCTAAATACTACCTATGCACAAAAACTTAATAGCTGTCCAGATGAGTAGCCTTCTTTAGGATCTAAGGCATAGCTTCTAGAGCATTTTCCTGTGATGTCAAATGTTAACTTTTATTTTATTTAAGAGATGGAACCCAGGCTCTGGACACTGAGCCCATGACTTATCAATGACCTACATCTACAGTTCCAAACACTGTATCTTATACATAATGAGTGTTCAGAAAGTAGCAGGTGATCCTTTTAAAAGATGGTGGCTCAAAAGTGAGACTAAAGATAGAATCTTTCTTTTTCCCCTGAAAACTAGTATGGGTGGCTTTTGGGCCTATTTAGCTACACTAGGCAGGGGGATGGTTTCATAGAGTATTAGTATTTCAGTCACATGACATCTTGTATTTCTCCAGTTATAATGGCTCCTTATGTATCATTTTTACCTTACCTTGATCTCTCTGACAGGGGTGGAAGACAAGAATCCTGTCTTTTCTAGTTTCCACAAGAGTCAAATACTTTCTTTGAGGTTACAAGTTTGCGCATATTTAATATGCTCTTGAAATTATTTGGTAGTAACCTACCAAAAACATTGAATACTGCTCCCAGCCCAATCATAACGTCTTTCCTAAAATCACTTTCATGATTTTTTTTTTCTAAAATAAAGCTAGAATCTTGGCAGCTCTCTGAAGCAGCTCTTCCTGGATATCAGAGATGTGCAGTGTTGTGTGGTGCATGAGACTCGCAGAAGTAGGGGAGCAATCTCAGAAATCAGAACCTAACTCTGTATTTTAAGAACTAGTAATTAAAGCTCCAGTCTTACAAAAGTCAAGACTATCAAGGATCAAACAGCAAATTACAGTCAAGTTGCATGCCACCCGGGCAGTGCCAATGCCTTGCTAAAACATCTCTCCAGGAGCAATTTGATGCTAGTAGAGGATATGGAAGTTGCTTTTATGTGTCCATTTACCAAAAAGTTAGAAAACATTAAGGAGCCACACAACAACAGTATTGATGAAGAGTACGAGAGCTGTGCACTCCCCACCATGCTCGCCTGGCATTCGTAGAGACCTAGATTCCGGTGCAGATTTTGATTCTTAGCACTTTATATTTCACTCTATCCACATCACACATGAGTCAGTCCTCCACCGACATAGCTGGAACAATCCTCCACCTCTCTAAAACATCCAACATGCGTAAAATCATCCCCCATAACCAACATACTGTAAGGCAGAGAACAATGATACTCGTCTACTTTCAAAAGGATTGTTACAGTGATCCAAATCTTATGGGAAGGATGTAAAAACCCAGATAACACAATGGAAAATGAAAATGAAAATTTATTTTTGTAAATACTAAGACGCCTCAGCAGGGATAATTTTACCTCTTAATTCATAATTGAGCTTGATATCTGTACATATATAATATATGTTAATGAATAACTGGCAATTTTTATCAGAATAATTACTAACCCATTGTTACCTATCAGGCACCACAAGAGATCACTTGTATTCTGAAAAAGTTTCTCCATGCATAAAAGAAGAAATGGTAAGAGATTGAATTATAGAATATTTTAAATATTCACATTTAACACATCAACACCTTGAATAGCCACATATGGGAAATAATCTTATTTTTTGTTTTTGGGGGTTTTTTTGGTGGGACTGAGGATTGAACTCAGGCCCTTGCACTTGCCAGGCAAGCGCTTATCTTACTCAGCTATCTCCCCAGCCCAGGGAAATAATCTTATTTAGAGGCAATGCACTAACTTTTTTTAAAAAATGTAGTTAGTACAGGGTCTACAGAGTCTCACTACACAGATCAGACTCGTAGTGAGTCTCCTGTTTTCAGCCTCCCAAGCGCTGGGATCGCAGGCAGGCACCACTATGCCCAGTCCCAGTCGCTGTCTCGGAGTACCCCGTGTGTGGGACCAGCACTGCAAGCCGGGGATGGAATCCCGGTCCCCGCATCTGCCTAAGCAGGTTCCTTAATCCGCTGAGCTACCTGGCCGGCCCTAGATCAGTCCACTAACTTTTGATACACAATCAAGGTGAAGCCTGAATGAACACCTTCTCCATTCCCCGCCCACCCACCATCCATATCCAAAGTTCTGATTATCCATTAACTTACTTGGAAAATTCTTATATCTAGGTCACATCTAGGGTTAGCTATTCCTTGAGAATATTTTTCAAATGTCACTCAGGCAGAATTAATTATGAAATTGGGTGGGAAAGACCACAGCCAGAGCTGGCCTTACCTAGAATCAAATTCCCAGCCACCTCATAAAGCTGCAAAGTTCTCTTCTTTCCCCAGAGGAAAGCCCCAGAGAAATCCTCAAGTATTGGAAGGACCAGGGAGCACCGAGGGGAAGAAGAAAAAGGAATTTAGATATGCTGTAGGTGTGGGCAGACTCCTATCTAATACATGTAATCATCATGTACTGAAAACATCACTAATAAAAAAATTAATCCCAAAAAAGAATTAAGAAAGAGCAGAGATGAGTACAATTCAATAAAAGGCAATGGGGGGAGGGGGGGGGAGATTTGCACTCAAAGGCAAGAGTGCCCTCTGGCGGCGAACAGGAATATGATTTTATTTTTCCTTTCTAACTCCTTGTGTTAGGAAGGGTTCCATGTTGGCAAACTTGTGTAAATGTTAGGCTAGGAATTCTCGAAAATCTTTGCGTCCTGCTCAATAGAAGATGTGTCAGTGCCGGCTGAGAAGAATAGAGCAGGACCCTCTGGCAAATTGTCAGCGAATGTGTTATGGCGGAAGTTCCAACTCTCAGCTGATGATGAGTGGAGAGGCTATGTTTTTTTAGACAAAGGTCCATGATGCAGGCTGACGTTGAACTCTCCGTATAGCACAGGATGACCCTGAACTTGCAGTGATCCTCCTGCCTCAGCCTCCCAAGTGTTGGGATTACAGGCGTGCGCCACTGCACCTGACAATGAAGCTCTGTTAGTACAGCCAGGATTTGAAGGGTACAAAGGGCTAACACTGCAGCTTCCAGGTCAGGAGGCTACCCACCGAGGTAAATAAGCAGTGTGACTTACCTTAACACTGGCCCATTTATTCTTTTTTTAAGGAAAGTCCCCAGTGCAGTTTGGAAAGAAAGCAAAGAGGAAAAACGGCAGGTGCAAAGTGTTGTCTTGAATGCCCCTGGCAGTGGTTTATCTCTAGACGTCCCCTAAGTCCTCATGTGCCAGTGGGTGGGGCTTTTGACAGTGGTTAGATCATGGTGGGGGCGTGGTGCCTATCAGTGGACTAGTCTACCGATGTGTTTATAGTTAAATGGGATTTGAGAGGTGAAGCCTGGTTGGGTGGCCTCTGGGGATGTGGCCTAGAAGGTGCTGTCTTCTCTTCCCTTCAGCCCCTCTGTGCTTCCTGCCATGAGCGCTTCTTCCCTGCCATCTGCCATGCCATCTGCCAAGCCACCCTGCCTTGGAGCCAGCCAGGGATGGACTCAAACCTCTAAATATTGTGAGCCCAAATAAACTTTTCATCCTGAGATTTCCAGATGTCAGTATTGCGCCTCAGGGCCAAGGAAAGTAGCTGGGCAGATGTTAGTACCAAGAACAGGGTCGTGGCTGGGGGGCTACCTGACTATGTGGTTCCAAAGCCTTTTACACTGGCTTGCAGGAGGAGTTTGGAAAGGATTGGAATGCCCTAGAATGCTGTGATTGGAGCTTGATGGGAGATTCTGGTGAGTTCAGAAAAACAAAACGCCCACGCTGTGCAGCCAGAGTAGACCAGCTTCAAGAGGTTTTGGGTGGGAAGGACTCCATTGGTGGCTGGCCTCCAAGCCATGTGCATTATGTTATGATGGAAAATTCATCTGCATTTTGCTCATGTCCAGAGACTTTGAAGGTGTCTGTGACAGTAGTCTGATTTATCTGGTGGTGGAAATTTCAAGGTAGTCAAACACTCAGGCTGTGGCTTGTGTATTGAGAATTAAGCACGAAGAGCCCAACAGAATGATTTAAAACATTTTGAGTTTGGCCACAAAGGAAGCTTCCAGTAAAGCAGGGGCCTGCAAGGAGGGAGCAGAGGAGATGCTGGCTGCTGAAAAGATTGGTGTTGGAAAGAAGCCAAGTAATTCGGAGCTGGACAGGGGCGGGATCCAAGACTGCACCTTTCCCAGACGCAAAGGTGGAAAAGCGGAAGAGCTGCTCATTCATGATGCAGTCGTGTCAAGCTGTGCACAAGAACTTAGGTAGTCACAAGCTTACAAGCATTGCTGGGGGCTCTAGTGGTAACAGGTAGAAGAGCCCAGGCACCCATGGCCCTGAAGTCATTCTCCGGGAATTGTCCCCACTACTGGAGAAAACAACAAATAAAAAGGCCCACTCACTGCCCTCCTCTTGATTTTAATGAGCATTAAGCAGCCATCCATAGCTGGCTGGTCCAATCAGCTTGCCTTAGTCAAAGACAGAAAGATAGCTCTTCAGAGGAACATATGACTGGAAGGAGGGCTGCACCCACCTGGTCATGAGTGCAGCCTGTATGTAACTACACCTTCACTTTTTTCTATGGTTGCTATGGAAACATAACACCAATTCTGTATCAAGACCCTCCCAGATGTTACTCATGCTTGGACCTTAATTTCACTCAGTGAAGAAGTCCACTGTTTCACAGTTTATAATCCACCTAGTTAGACTCTGGGTAACTATTTCATAATTAAAGAAATATACTTGGCATCAAAAATAGTGAGGATACAAGGGGCCTCAAATCTGGTTGGGGGGGTCCATATGGTGTGTGCTGTCTCTGAGGGCATCAGTCCCTCGTTTGTTCAAGGCGGACAGCTCCTCAGCCCCATGGCCTAGTGGGGCCAGCTCTGCCTCACTGTCTAACCCCGCTCACAGCCTCTCACATAGCCTAGTGGGGTGCATCACAGCCCGAGTTTCCAATCATCCCCCAGCCCTCTTGGGGTACAGACCCTTTTCTCCTCCCCCAGGAGCTATTTTGCTTGCCACTAGCAATTCAAACTTTTGTGGTCAGTGTCAGTGAGGTTCACGAGGAACAAGGGAGATGAGAAAGAAAACATGAGCCCTGTGAGAAGAAAAGTAACAATCCCCAGTACTATTATGGCCTACTGGACTATTTTGGAATATTTTGCTGAGTTCACACACCTATAATATTTAAATGATGGAACTAAACAAGAAAAGGAGATACAGATGAATGACCATTTTGTATCTGTGTATTCAAAATGGTTAGGATAGATATATAGTTACATTCTCTTAATTCAAGGAATAGAGGGATTTGTTCTAATTGTGTCTGTAAATAGGATATCATGTCTGCATCTTGACAACAAATAACCACTAGGAAGTCAGTATGCAATGTGTTAATTATTGGAACTGTCCTACCAATTGATTTGAAACTGTTTCATTGTTATTTATCAATAAAATTATGGGGGAAAAAGTAACAATGAAAAGATCACGTTCAAAACAGAACACACACAATTCTTCAGTCTGATGAATCTGTTTTATTGAAAAGTTTACATAACATCCTTTCACATTATGGTAGTATTACTCTACCTGCTTGTTGCCAATACCAAGTATTGTTACTGCAGTGAAAGTAACTATATCAATTGCCATTCTGTCCAGCTGACATTATTATAAGGAAACAAAGCTGCAAGAAAAGTGGGTAAGTACGGGCTTCCCAAATAGGGGTACAAAGCAGGGTTATAAAAATATAGACAAGACTAAACTATAAAATGTACTCCTGAGCTGAACTTTGATCTGAAAACATTCATATTCACATTTTATATAAGTGAAAACGAGCTAGGACACTTCATGGGGGGCCACAGGGCTTTGGCTTCACAAGGACATCATCCCTGAGTGACAGCAGCTGGTTCAGAGGTCCTTGTCACCTCTCCACAGTACTTTTCTCTTCAGACAAGTAAAATTACAGCCTGTGTGCAATCTAGCGTGAACAAAGACAGGCAGCTCGACGCATCAGCCTTCAGGTTCTCTATAACACGGGCCTATACGTCAGCACAATCTGCTTCTCAAGACCCCAGCAAGCTATTCTGCTTGCCCCGACCGAGCAATTCAAACATTTGCTAAACACCTCTTATTATGGTCTGATAAAATTCATTACGGAATTTTTACTACTGGCACAGTCAGGATAGAACTGAACTTCACTAAGTAGCTACTCTACAAAAACGCGACAAGTTTTTGTTTAGATGTCTAAACACAAGACAATTAGAGCAGGGAATCCTTTAAGAAAACTTGGTGCTTTTTGTTATACTGTGCCTCAGTCAGTGACAGATGGTTTTCCAATAATCAGCAGAGTATAAAATTTCTAATACATGTATTAGTTTATGCTCGGGAGGGGAAAAGAGGAATAGGGTATTTTAAATTGTAAGGAGAAACAGAAAAGTTACACAGATCCTTTCACATGTCAATGGTATTAAGACTTAAAAAACCCACACAACACAGTGACACTAGCTTCCTATTCAGCCAGAAGTAGACAAAACATATTGATATGTTTTGAATCCTCACTATGGAGAACTGGGCATCTTCAAAGTCATAATTTTCCTTACATATAAAAATATAAAAGATCTGGCAGAGGAAAATATTCTTCAGAAAGCAAGCAAACACATCCACATGACTGGCTGGTACAGGTCTGCGACTTGCCCTTCATGGGTATTTCCTGATCAGGTCGATGATTTCCTTGTACAGCCGCCAGGGGGCATCCAAGCCCCAGAGGAAGTCGATGTGGTCCCACTCGGGGATTCGTTTGTGGTACACCAGCTTGGGGATCTGAGTCAGTAAGAGGCTGATGTCGCTGGCATCGGCGAGCCAGTCGTGGTCTCCGCTCCACAGTGCCGTGGGCACGAGCATGTCCTTCACGTTGTACGCGGGCGGGTAACTCTACATGCAGACAGAGACACAGACAGCAATGTTAGGATTTTCAAAGTCACGCTAAACACAATCTCCAACAAACACTGCCAAGTAAGTCTGACCTGAGCACAAGCGACTCAGTTTTGGAGACCTGTTTCGGTACACTTTTCAGGTTGCCTTTACCACAGCAAAAAGTATTCCAACCCACTACGAAAGAATTTGAATTGTGGAATTGCTACTTCAGCCTGGTACTATAATGACTATTTAATACCCACGGAGGAAGCCGCTGTTCTTGCCAGGGAGTAGATGTTAACAGGGAACCAAGTAAGGGAGTCAGAGGAGTGCCTTCCTACCTGCTCCTTCTTGGAGTAAGATAAGTCATAGAAATTCTCTAACACTCAGTTATTTTTTTCATCTTGAAATCAGAGATAACCACATCTACAGCACAGGGATATTGTAAGAAATTAAAAAAAAAAATACATGTAAAATACTGCATAGTTTAGTTTAGTTCACGCGCACTCAGGACATGAACTTGTAGGGGGAAAAAGAGGAATAAGCAATATGACGTGGCCCAGGCCCCCAAGCTGGCAGGCAACAGATCGGGGTGCACTTACGATTGCTCTGAGCAGAGCACCCCAGTGATGATTCGTTCCTACAGGCAGGAAGGACAAAGAGAAGATGCCCCGCCTGAACCCAAAATGCAAAGCTGGGTCATTCTGGAGTTGATGGAGGGAAAACAAATACTTTCTAGCCAACCTTCCCCAGCACACCCTACAGCACCTGAGCCCAGCCAGTGTCCTGATAAACCAGCCGCTGCCTGGATGAGCTCTCAGGGCCCACTTTAATAAAAAGAATGAAAACCTTACCTGGTTGTAATGAAAGTAATTCTTGGCGCTGCTTCCCCAGTCGAAGGCTTGAAACCTTTGGGATCTAACAGCCTAAAAGGAAGGTGAATTAGAAAAATGTTACCTGACACTGAAGACTGAAATAACACTGTAAGTTGCTCGAGTGAGCTACAACCTCAGAAAGCAATTTTATACCAAACTCCAGACAGCCTCTTCATTTCCAAATCATTATTAAAAGGAACTGTTCTGGCTTTCTTTCTTCTACAGCTCGGTTTTCACTGTGCGACTGCAGAACCCTCCTGCACGATGAGCCAAGGAGCAGCAAAGCATGTACAGTTCGGGCTGCCTGAGCTCCTCCACGGTTGCTCCTGGTAGACCGACCTTGTCTGCATGGATAGTCTCCACCAAGGTCTGCATCTTCAACTTTCTTGACAAGTTCATGATTTTACTTGGAGATACACACACATGCAGGGTCACATGTCACATGATGACACTTCCGACTTCAGTGGGCTACGGGTATTACAATGGTCCTGTAAGATCACATCACTGAGCTACGCAGCTGTGAGGGTTTACTCTGTTATGTACGTATAACGTTGCATCAGCTAACGACAGGTTCCTCAGGATGGATTTCTATTGTTAAGAGATGGGAGATGTGATATTTGTGTGTATATACCTTTTCTATTATATTAGTATTCATATTTTATTGGTTTAGCACTTCTTTCTGGAGACCACACAGTATACACCAGTGGAATTTGAATTGGGGCTACTAGAACTACGAAATGACAGTATGTATAAAATGTTCACTTTAGTTTATGTGTATTTGGAAAACTGTGATAGCAACACAAGCCATTTCTTTATGAAATTTAAAATAATGCAAATTCACACTCTCACGATGCCTCTGAGTGAAAAATATGTCAGGAGTTAAAACACCACGCTGGCTAGCCACATGAACCAGAACCTGCAAGCTTGGGCCATGTGGGGCGCCAGGCAAACATGAAAACCACTCAGATGTGAAGCAGTTGCAGATCTTAGCAGTTACATAAGATTCTGCTTGAGGTACTAAAAGGCTGGGTGGGTTGGCTACTTAAGGTGATTGCTACAGGAAAAATGCTTAACTTTTGCCATCGCAAACAACACATAAAGACACTTGGAATATTTAACAAAATATGGATTGACAGAGCCTATGACTGTGTTTGCTCTTTTCTTCCAGTCATCAGTGAAAATTCCCAAGTGTAAGGTGCTCTGACATGGCTCTAAGGAGCCAGCCCACTACTCTCTCCCGCATGCTTTTCAGCATTCACACGAAGCATCAGGAGTGAGCACGAAGCACAGGAAAAGCTCGCCGTAGCATGGGGACCTTGACTTTCGTGTCCAGGCCCTCAGGACTTCAAGGCACTCCCTTGCACGGGCATCTCCAGGGGAGGGAAGCCTGAGGATTATTTAATCCTAATTATTTAATTTAATTTAATCCTAATTATTTAATCCTAACTATAATTCTAATTATATATAATTAGAAAGGTCCAAGTCCAATAATATATATATATATACATATATATATATATATATATATTCCCTCAATACACAAAACAGTAGGGTATTCTGATACTTATAGTAAAATACAAACAAAAAACTGTTTACAAATCATTGCCATAAATAATCCTAAGTGGAAAAGTCATGAAATTAAATGTGCACCATGTCTGTGTTTCTGTTTTGATCCTCAGGAGGCAAAGATCAGGAAGAAGTGCCTATAGTATTAAAATGGAAGCTTCAACATGATATTTTAAAAAACAGTTTTAGATCTCTAATGCTTATAAAAATGCAAGTAGGTTAAATGTTTCTAAAGTACTATATGTACCTGAAATTTTGAAGACATGCTTACCCTCTTGCCACTGACTATTTCCTGCTTTTTTTTGTTTGTTTGTTTGTTTTGTTTTCTCATTTATGTATTTGATACAGGGTCTCACTATGCAGTTTAGACTCAGCAATCCTCCTGTTTTCAGCCTCCCCAGCGCTGGGATTACAGGTGTATACCACCACGCCTGGCTTCAGCGGCCAGTTCAGCACACCCTGGGGGCGGGGTTGCCCCAGCCTGTGGGACCTGGAATTGAACCCTGGTCCCTGCACTTGCAAAGGAGGTGCTTTGTCTGCTGAGCTACTTTGCAGGCTATTTCTATGGAGTACATATATCATTTTCAGAAAACAACCTTCTCAACCTTAAAATAATGCAAACTCATACTTCCATACTTCCAAATTCACACATCTCGTGTGACGTCACACAGAATATTTCTCCCAGAATGCTTGACTATTGCAATAAAACTGCCATGCAGAAAGCAGAAAAAGTAAATCTTATGCAGTAGAAAAACTGTTTTCCATTATCAATATATTAAAAAATGTATTTATTGACCTATAAAAGCATATTTTCTTTCATTATGGCAGGAGCTAACTGTCCCTAGAGCCCATTCTTGCCTTTGCCATTCAATAATGGAATCCCTCCTGCTGTGAAGGCAGAAGCTACCCTCAGCTTCCTGGTGCCTCAGGGCTCCGAAGGCCACGCCCAGCTCTCTTCTCCAGGCAGAGGCACTGGGCCTCCTCTCTCCCACCAGCCTGTGGGCTGGAACAGGCAAGAAAGCGAGCCAGCTTCAGGCAGGAACAAGGGTCAGCACACCCGAGGCCCAGCTATGAACTGCCGCACACGCACGCCTGCAGGCGGTAACATCCCCTCCTACCACCAGCCTGGGCTGCTGAGCTCTGCTGGAATCTCAGAGAAAGAAACTAGTTATTTAGTGGATATATTTTAGGGTTTCTAAAACAGCAACTCAGTCTGTATCTAACAAATGTAATATTGTTTAACTAAGTGAAAGTTACTCAAGAAGGAGGATCTACTTTTGTAATGGAAATAATTTCAGAAAATGAGAAAATGCCAAATTAGTAATAGGGATTATTGCTCAGTGGTGAAGATCTTCTAAAATGTCAAGGAACACATGTTACATGTATAACAAAATTACACTGAATTATGTCAGTGTTTTTAAAAGCCAATCAAGGGGCCGGGGGTTAGCTCAGTAGAATAAGTACTTGCCTGGAAAGTACAAGGGCCTGAGTTCAATCCCTGGTCCCACCAAAAAAAAAAAAAAAAAAAAAAAAGTCAATCAACTTGGATATTGTATATTTTGGATATTGTTTTTTAAAAATGAAGTAAGTTACAAAATAATGAAGGACAACAGAATGATCTAAGTTATGAACTAAAATACAGATTCCAGGAACACACTTGCTAGGGTTTCCAGCAAGACTTGGACAGGCCTAAGCAGGGGCACGTTTATGAGTGCCCTCAGTATGCCTATCGCAGTACCACCCTGAGCATGTACCCTAAGCAATTGTGACCACAGTGCAAAGGCGTGTTAGGACTGGTGACACAAGCCAGGGCCTGGGCACACAACAGGGCCACCACAAAAGTCAGAAAATAAGCTTGTGGGATCTCTGAAATTCATCTAGCTTGTAAAAACATAGAAACATTTGTAAACTCACTTCAAAAGCCTAGGAAAGACGTAGGTTTGGGAATTTAATAAGTGAATGCTATTTAAACAAAAGTAAACTTCTGACTGCAATATAAATAAAGTAGCCTTAAAGGATGCCTCCTCCAAAGTAACCACACGAACCTTTAAACTCCACACATGAACCATGGCCTAGGTCTGCAGCCAGGCTGGCACTCCCTTAGGGCTCCGCCACCATAATGGAGATCTCTGTTGCCCGTGCCCCACCCCCGCCCCAGTCCCCAGGAAGGAGGAGCACAGCCAGGACACTACAGATCTGCTGCAGGAGGCGGCTCTGAAGGGCAAAAGACAGGCTGCCTCCAGCAGCCAACGGGGCTTGTGCAATGCCCACAAGGCGTATTCCCATAAGGTTAACCTCAAACCACAAGGTTGCAACAGGCCAGGAGAAAAGAGCTCTGGAGCTCAGCCTGAAGCTTCTGGCACTGGCCAGCTGCCCAGATGAAGGGCTGGCTCGAGAGCAGAAGCCACTCTCCAAAAAGCCAGCCCTGCAAGGCCTGACACACAGAGGCTGAGGCAATGCCCTTCTGTGTTAGGTGACAGTTCAGAGGGCAGTGCTTTCCTCTTTCCCCGGGGCTCTGCGAGCAGGGGTGTAGCTGCTGCGCTTGGCTGAGACGCGCGACTGCTGTGTGCGGCCTACTGTGTGGGCGCGTGCGGTGGGGGTCACGAAGCTGGTGACAAGTTCATGCCTTCAGCCCAGCACACCCACCCCCTCCTCCTCTCTAAGAGCACTCTCTCTCTCTAAAGGTGACAGACATTTCCATTAGCTAGGCAAGTACTGGTTCTCAGAAATGTACGGGAATTTCGTTGTTACAGTACACGAAGAAAACAAGTGTAGGACCCAGAAGAATGGCAGCTGAAGGGCTGAGGCCCTGCCAACATGTCCCAGAGGACTTGCATTCCAGGCCGTCTTCCAGGCTGAAGCAACCTGGGCATGGAACACTCGGGCATCAGCATTCGCCCTTCTGGTGGTTTCAGTGAGCTAAAAGCCTCCAGGCAGGTCCTGGCTCCTCAGAGGAGTCTCTGAGAGGGGCTCATGTTGGTAAGCGACCGTGCTATTTGGACTATGGCCAGTGCTCCAGGGGAAACTGAGGGAAGAGATGAAAGCCTCAGAGGTGTTGCAGATGTGACCCTCCCAAATCTGGTGAGGGAGAAAATTCTAGGCAGTTTTTAAAAATACAGATCCTCAAGAATAAAAAGGACTGACCTACTGCTATACACAACATAGCTCAGTCTCCAAATAAGCATGCTGTGTGGAAGAAGCCAAGTGAAAAAAAGTATAAACTGTATGGCTATACTTAGCCAAGCTCCAGACAATACAAACTAATCTATACTGATGAAAGCAGATCACTGGGGAGTAGGGAAAAGCTCAATTAGAAAGGGGCAATGAGGGAGGTATGCATGGTGGGGAAGGCCTGGGATCCCAGAACTCTGGGAAGCTGAAGCAGGAGAATCACAGCTTTGAGCTCAGCCTGGGAAACTCAGCAACATCTGTTTCAAAATGTAAGAAATTGAAAGGGCTGAGGATGTAGCTCATGCAAAGGCCCCATGTTCAGTCCCTAGCATTGCAAAAGAGAAGGGGCAGTGAGGAGATTCTGGGGACGGTGGGTATTTCCTCACTATCTCAGTTTAGGTGACAGCTTAGCAGAAATTTCCCTAGATCAAAGTGTATCAGATTATGTTACTTAAAACAGTACATCAACTGCATCTCAATTGAGTTGTTAAGAAGTCAAGTTCCCCAATCCAAGTGAATTGGCATCTCTGGGGACTGGACACAGAAGTTTTTGGTTTTAAAAGCACGTACTGTAATCAGACTTGTCAACCTACTATGGTTACTATCCTTTCAGTCAGTTCTGCAAATGTATTACTTTTTTCATGTAATATCTTACTAACAGGTATAATTTTAAAAGCAATTCAGGGGCCAGGGAGACAGCTCAGTGGAATAAGCGCTTCCTTGGCAAGCGCAAGGGCCTGAGTTCAATCCCTGGTTCCGCCAAAAAGAAAAAAAAAAGCAATTCAGTGACTCTGACTCTGCTGTAGGCAGTGACTCCCACAGGCCCAGAAACTGCCCTAGAAGCTTGGAAACTGATGAAACACTGATAGCATCTTTGCTTATCAACAAAGGGTAAATTATTTCATATTTAGAGAAAGTTAGCTAGAAAAAAAATGGTCAAAAATATGTCCTAGGATGGAAGAAGTCCCTGGAATTCAGAGAAACAAATTATAAAATTGCAAATATGAGCAATTAAATCCATTTCTACATCTACTATTTCTAGCTGTAAACAGCTTCTCTTTGACAAGATTTGCAGCAAGAGGTTCACAGATTATGGAAACATATCTCCAAATGTAAATTATTTTTATCTTCATGTAGGCTTATACATAGAAATTTTCTTTTCTTTTCTTTTTTTTTAGAAATTTTATTTTCATTTAAAGAGAATTTTCCTTTTCTGAAATAGCAGCAAGTTGTCATAGCTAAATCTTGGCCATAACCCAAATGCCCATCAACTGAGGGATAGATAAAAAAAAAATATGCAGTGTTTCATACAACGGATTATTACTCAGCTTTAAAGAAAGATAAAGACTTTTATATGTGAATGGACGCAACTAGAGACCATACTCAAGTGAAAGAAATCAGCCCCACATGTGAACACATCATATTGTCTCTCTAGTGCAAGAAACTGAAAGAGCCAAGAAAATCAAAAAGGTGCAATAGACATTGTGAGAGGGAAAGAAACTGCTGAATAGGAAGGAACAAGCAGGAACAGAGAAAGGAGAAAAGAAAGAAAGAAGGGGGAAAATATGTGGGTGGATGGATGGATAGATGGGTGGACAGATGGATAGATAGATGGGTAGATGGATGGATAGATAGACAGATAGATAGGAGAGATACTATAATTTTTTATCAATTTTTCATGCTTACATCTGGTCCTTTGAACAACTACTTTGAAGACAATAAAATGCAATATAACAACCACTGTTGAATTCCTATCATTTTTTCTGAAATTCTGTATTATTTCTAATGTTTCTTTATTACTTTTATTCTCTTTAAAATAAAAGAGAGTATTTTCTCTTTTGGTTGATATGTTAAGTTCTAAATGTTCTGGCTCTGGTTTGTAGCACTGCAATAACAGTTCCCATGTCCAATCACAATCTCTCTCTCTCTCTCTCTCTCTCTCTCTCTCTCTCTCTCTCTCTCTCTCTCTCTTCCTGCATTACTTCCACGAAAAATAGATGTGGGTGAGAAAAGAAAATATAAGCTTGCATCACAAAGGAAAAAGAATGCGAGGGGAGAGGAAAGGAACAAAAAGCAGCAAGCAGAGTTCAACAGCTTTCAGAGAACCACACACAGTGCAGTGCACCTCACTGTGGACAGTGGAGCAATTCTCGGGCAAGGACAAGGACAAGGACAGGGACAAGGACAAGGGCACTGGGGAAGGGAAACACATCAGGCTGTGAGCAGACTCTTTCTGTTTAGGAAGGGCTTACACAGAGGTGTTTCAAGGAGCACAACACATTCTCCCAACTCTGATTTCCCCCGCGCCCCAAAGCAATTGAGGAACACCCACCTGGCTCCAGTGTAACGCGTCCTGCACAGAAGTCCCGGCGGGAGAGTGTGCTGCATACACATCCACTCGAGACTGCAAAATGAACATGTTACATTAAAGGAAAGTAGCACATTGTCCTTCAGAGTATTAAAACTTACAGAGCTGTAATCGCAAATACATGGGATCAGGTTGAAAAAGCCTTTGACTACGAAGATGTCTTATTAAAATATGAATAACTATATACAGAGTACCTACAAAGACAGTGCAAAACCAGGATGACAATAGAGTTCTACAGGTTGGGCTACAGGTCATTTTCATTGTTTTCCATATTTTCCTGAATTTTTAAGTTTAAAAATAATAGGTTGCTTTGATCATCAGAAAAAAATTAACATTATTTCAAAAATTCCCTTGGACCTTCATTCCAGAATTTTAAAGCCTATTTTCAAAATGCAACAATACAAATGACAAATAAATCTAGAAACACCAGGATACTGATAGTCAATTCTTTGTTTTATCAAGAAAATGGAAATACACACATATGTATATGTGTGTCATAAAAATGTGTATATATAATCACTTCAAATTTAAACTTACAGGGGCTGGTGAGATGGCTCAGTGGTCTAAAGCACATACTTAGAACAAGCTTAGCAAAGCACAGGGACCGCGGTTCAATCCCCCAGCACCACATGCCAGCCAGCCCTGCCCCCTGGTGGGCTGAGCTGGCCACACACACACACACACACACACACACACATAAATAAAAAAAAAATTAAACATACAGAATTCTTAAAAAAACAAATCACTAGAATAAATACAAGTGCTATGACTTAAATTGTGGGGGAAACCCTTGTTCAGTAGTCTCTGTACATGTCTGATGTAGGACACTGACGAAAGCTGGCCAAGACAGCAACAGATGGAATTTCAAGCATCAGCTGAAGCTGATTCCTGTGTCTCTGCTGTGAAAGACCCTCTAGAGTTTAGGTGAGCCATTTGTGTATCTCACACCATCTGACACAAATAGGCAAATTCATAGCTAAAGTCTGAATTAACTCTCACTGCCCGTTATGATTTGTGTGTATTTGTCCCCCCAAAAGCCTCATGTAGTCATTGAGGCACTGTTCTAGAGTTTGTGAGTAAACTGAGATTATGGGTCTGAGTACTGCTGGCATTATAGGTCTGAGTACTTCTGGGATTATGGGTCTGAGTACTGCTGGGATTATGACCACACCCAGCCTGGGACGGATAGCTTGAATGTAACATGAGAGACAGGCTTTCTCTCTGCTGCCACTTGTTGCTGCTCCTCCTCCCATTTGCTCTCTGCTCTTTGCCACCACCATGAAAGGTTGTTCTGTTCCATGCACCACTCTGCCTTGGAGCCAGCTGAGTATAGACTGAAATCTCCAGTACCTGTGAGCTAAAATAAACCTTTCCTTCCTTCATTTTGGGTGTCCTGTATTTGTCCCAGTAACAAGAGAAGAGTAACTATGACACTGTCAATATACGTACCATGTTTAAGTTCCTCTCATTAAATCCACAGAGAAGAAAGAAGAGATTCCCACAAAGCTCCTTCATAATGACATGAGTACAGACGTGGGTACCCAGCCACTTCAAAATCTCAGACTGGGGGAAAAAAATTTTGTTCCCAAATAACTCCTAAAACAAAAAACAAAAAAAAAAAAAAAAACACAAAGAAACACAATAGAATCTCAGATATCTTGTGCATCAGTCCCCGCAACACAGCACAAAAGCACCCAGATAGGCGTGTCCCCCCTGAGGCTGCAGGGGCAGAGCCAGATGGCACACATTCACACGAGCACACAGACACTCACGTTTACCAGGCAAAATCAGGTGAGGTCATGGTAGGTATCTAAATTCTCAAAATAAAAACTAAAGGCAAAAAAATTAAATAAATTTATAACTGACTTTTACAGAGGGAAGGGCTTTGACCAGTGATCCTAACTGCATCCCCCAAAGAGCTCTCATTGGCCTCCCGTGGATCATTCATGATGCCTAAGAAAAAGCCTGGGCTGTGGCCACCTGCAAAGGGTGCTGGGTATGCAAACAGCTCCTTCTGTGTTGGCCAAATCTAGCCCACCGCCTGTTGCTTCTTTTTTTTCTTTTTAATTGGAGAAGGGAGTAAGTTTGTGTTTCTATAAAGCTACTACACTATAATCTCCAGGGATTAGATAAATTAAAAGCATACATTTCTCTGTTTTTAATCATTTATTTATTTATTTATTTATTTTTGTACAGGATCTTGCTATACAGCTAAGACTCATAGTTATCTCCTGTATCAGCCTCCCCAGCACTGGGATTATAAATGTGTGCCACCACTCCTGGTTTCAGTAGCTGGCACAGCATGTCTGGGGTTCTGGGGATCAAACCCAGGTCCTTGTGCTTTCTAGGTAGGCACTTAGTCCACTGAGCTACCTCCCCAGCCCAAAAACATACATTTCTATGACACAGAAATTCTACTTCCCCTTAGACACTATAGGTATGCCCAAAAAGGTCATACAGATACAACAAATCAATCTGATTGCCTGCCAAAGAAGTCTGGCTGAATAAAAAGGTGTTCCTTATAATCCAAAACTTAATATGCAACAATTTCTAAAAGTGAATTAACATGACAGCTTTCCAAGAGTGAAACATCCAATTTTCAGAATAATCTATAGTTGGATGTCATCCACATTAAAACAATGATTAAAAAGATAATATATCACTATAAAGTATTATGTACTACACATACTATATGTCTTTAATTTTAAGTAACTGGCAGTGCAGATTTGTTTACACCAACATTACCACACACTCATAAGCAATGCATTAGCTATGACATCACAAGGTGACAGGAGTTTTTCAGATCCATTATAATCTCATGGGACCATGTTATGGTTTGTGTGTGATTGTTCCCCCAATGTCACGGGGGTGGGCTTCTTGAGTTTGTGAATAATTCATGACCCAATGCTGGGATTATGAATGTGACTGCTATACTCACCCTGGGGTGGATAGCCTGCATACAATATAAGATATTGAAGGGAGAGAGGCTTGTTAGCTGCCACACCCACTGCTGCTCCTCCTGCTCGTTGCTGTTTTCTGCAACCATGAACAGCTGCCCTCTACAATATGCCTCTCTGCCTTAGAGCCAGCTGAGTAAGGACTGAAACCTCCATTAACTGTGAGCTAAATGCACCATTTATTCCTTAATTTTGGATGTGGGAATTTTGTCTCAGCACTGAGAGAAAAGTTCCCAAGACAGGCCCTGAGCTCCCCTGGATGGGAAGTAGGAGTGAAAGGAGAAAGCAAAGCCCACTGCTACACTGATAGTAAATGCACAGGAGGCCCTAATAGATTCTCCCCCTCGCAGCCCCTTCTTCAATATGAGGAGGAAATGCTGGAGGGGAGGGTAGTAAATACCTTGAAGAGAGGATCTGGGAATTGTGCTAATTTGGTTAGAGGGCTCTTAGCGAAATCCATTAAAATCACAGGAGCCATCGAAAAAAACATTTTAATCTTTTTGGCGAGTTCAGGCAACTGTGAAAATGCTATAAAACCTGTGGAAACAAAAGGAAGACAACAAAAATTTCTTCTTGTGAGCCTTCTTAGAAAAAGCAAGGAAGGCCATCCGTGAAGCCCCCACCAGCAGCCTGCTGACCCTGTAGGTGACTCTGTCCTGATAGTTAGACATGCTTAACATGTGACCCTCTGAACCTCGGGGTGAGCAAACACTGATTGCCTAAGTTAGCAACGCAATTGCTTGTTAAGTATCTGCTCCAAATCCCAACCTAGATATTCACAGGATGAAACCCAGGTGGGGACCCCTGTTCTTTAGCTGTGTGAATCAGAAGACCACATCTCCGCAGCCCGACCCTCCACCCAGCTCCCTCGCCTGTCCTCCAGCTATAGCCCCACTCACTTAGGGCACCAACAACTACCAAGAGTACTTTAGCTTTCAAGTCCTTTCAGCTCCCTTTCAGTTACTTCTTGCCATCTAGGCCTAGACTGTCACTGTAAGAATCAGGCACAACACACAAGTCAACTAGCTGTCAAATAAATGAAGAGCACCAGGTCTATTTCTAGGGGAGAAGCATGTCTCTATACCTTTTCACAAACTAATTTGTCCTTCTAGGAAAGTATCTAGGGAGACATGAACACAAAAGTTTTAGCTACAAGGAATACTAAAAGAGAATTAAACAAATTATAGAACAGGTTCCCTTTAGCTCCTTATTAGAGAAACTTGATCATTAGAATTATGATCAATTGGGCTGGGGAGATAGCTTGGTGGTCTAAGTGCCTGCCTGGCAAGCAGAAGGGCCTGGGTTCGATCTCCAGCACCACATGCCACATACCAAATAAATAAAGATTTAAAATAAACTGGCATTAAAAAAAAAGAATTATGATCAATTTGTATTTTTTTTAAACTCTGCAAAATTATTTTTCTAATAAACACATATAAATATTATCATCAACATAGATTAAAATTTACATAGCCTTTAAAAGCTGATTAGGAAGTAAATGAAACTCATGACCCTTCTAGTTAAATTCCAGTTAATTTTGTTTATTCGCAGTATTGGAAATTAAACTCTAGGCAAGCACTCTACTACTGACCTACTTCTCAGGCCTCCACATAACTTCAAGCATATTTACTAAGTCCCTTAGTAAACTGCAGATTTCTATTCTGTCACACCTTTAGAGTGCTTAACTGGAAAAATAATGTGGCTCACATTAATTCTATCAGTTTTAAGAGAATGACATGTCATATTTAGCTATGGAGTTTAAAGTCTGAACTTCCATAATACACTGTTACCAAAATTCTTTGTCCTATTTCCAATTTCTGCTTGGCATTAAAAACAAAACAACTGTATTGGAACTAACTTTATATTAAGAATAAGTGTAAGGGCTGGCAAGATAGCTCAACAGACTCAGTGTCTGCTTTTGCAAGCACAGGGACCAGGGTTTGATCCCTGGTACCATATGCCCTGCTGGACCTGCCCTGGGGCACGCTGAGCCAGTGACCGAGTCTGGATATGGTAGCACATGCCTGTAATCCCTGCACCATGGAAGCTGAAAACAGGAGGATCACTCTGAGTCTGAGCTGCACAGTGAGACCCTGTACCAAAATATACAATGCAAAAAAAAAAAAAAAAAGGAAGAAGAAAAAGAAGTGTAAACTGTATCAAGACCTTTCATGAACTTACAATCTTTATCATACATACCTATTGTGCTGCCTTGAGAGTGGCCCACATAGTACACTTGGGTTTGGCCTGTTTTGTTCAGAATAAAGTTAATTGATGCTGGTAGGTCATACTTTGCCATCTCATCAAAACTGTAATCCAAACAAAGGAATTCTTTGGTTAAAACTGCATAAAACAGAAGAGCACACAGGTACTAAATGTGAAGCTTGCTGGGTGTCACAAACCAAATACCCTGAGTAAAGCAGCACTAAGCTCAGGAAACTGAACCTCACCAGAACCATGGGGCCACCTGAGGCTCCCCTCCAGCCATGCCTCCACAGGTAACTGTTATCCTTATTTTTCACATTACAAGTCCGTTTCACCCATTGTAAGATTTTTCTAGGAATGAGATTATACTGTTTTACATTCTTCCACCCCTGGCTTTGTCCATGTAGTACAGAGAATGACAGTTATTCTTTCTCCTTCTACTTTTTTTTTTTTTTTTTTTTTGCGGAACTGGGTATTGAACTCGGGCCCCTGAGCTTGCCAGGCAAGTGCTTATTCCACTGAGCCATCTCCCCGGCCCCTCTACTTTTTAATATACCACATTTCACTCATCCTGTCCACTGCTGATGGGCATGGGAGTAGTGCTCAGCTTTTCACTACTGCAAGTAGTACAACAATAAATATACTCTTCTACACACCTTCTGGTAAAACCTCTCACTCTCCTGTGTCACGTCTTTAGAAAGGCTCTAGTACTACGAATAGGAAGCAAACCTGGAGATACCCAAGGAGCTGACATCTCCTGTGATGCCCGGTGCAACACAATACGACCTTGACCCTGCTATGCGGCAAGAGAGACAAGCCTGCTGTCACTGTACACTAAGGATGCTCCAGGGCTTCTGAGATTCCTTCCAAGTATCCTATGCTTTAATCCCCTGTTGCTTTATGAAGCAAGGGTCTATCACTCTCATGATGAATAAAAAAGCAAACACAGAGGGGTTGTGCAACATGCCCTAAATCACACGACAATTAATTGGTAAAGGCAGAAGTAAGAAAGAGGAGGGGAAAAATTCTGAAAAGAAGAAAACATCTGGAGAACATCTGGAGTATGTGTTTATGAAAAAGAGAAGAAGTTTATGGGACAATATTTTCCAGGAGGTCCCACGCCATGTGGGATAACAAAATAACTTAAGAAATCTCAACCGAATATAAGGCCGAATTAAATCACTCACCTACAAGTTACCTTAATGCTAGTTATTTAGTTCCTGGAAGGTTTAAGGTCTTACAAGGGACATCAGACTCTTGTGATTTCAGTTACTCCTCTGACAACTTCTCTGCTGAGTTCTTCATATGCCTGCTTTTAGGCCACTAAGAAAAAAGACCCAAGCCATAAGCAACTAAAACATACCTGAAGGCCCAGAACTCATCTTCGTCTACGGAGAGGGTCTTGTGCTTCCGAGACCAGGTGTTTCCCCTGCTGTTGCCCATCCACACATCAAAGCCAGCATCTGCCAGGATGAAGGCCAGGCTGCTGTTGTCAAGGTTGGTGACCCAGTTACTGGAATCTGCCAGAAAGCCATGCTGCAGGAAGACAACTTGTTTGGGACCTGAAAAAAATCATTCATGTTCAGGAGATTCGTATCCCTGAGCTTCAAAAAAGGCACAGCATCTTACTCAATGATCTCAAATAAATAACAAAAGAGAAATAAAACAATGAAGTAGCAATTTACTCCCATATAACATTAATTGAAAACAAAAACCTTTAAAAAAACATGACTAATAAGGTAACAGTAAAACAACTGTTTTTACTTGTTTAGTGACAAAACAACTAACTTGATCATCAAAAAAATTTAACATATATTTTAGGAATATACAAAATGTTTTCACAGCCAGGCATAGTATGTACACCTATAAGCCCATCTATTCAGAAGGCTAAGGCATGAAGATTACAAATTTGAGGCCAACCTGGAAAATTTGGTGAGACCCTGCTTCTGAATAAAGAGAAACAAAATAAAAAGGACTTAGGATGTAACTCAGAGCTCCCTGAGTTCAATACCCAAAATAGTCTAAAATTTGCTCCACAAACTGCATTTCTTTTTTTTTTTAAAGTGTCCGTCATTAATATTTTATTGAGATATACCAGAGGTCACTCATAAATTTTGCAGCAAAACAAATATTCATTCAGTCTACATCAGATACCAACAGGATATACTGGTTTCAAGAGCAGCCTTCCACACTATGTATGTTCAAATTAACATTTCTTTGAATACTAATAAAATAAACCAAAAGAAAAGATCCCAAACAGTGAGATAGCACTATAGACCTGTAAGAGTAGCCCAAATCCAAAAGCACTGGCCGCACCAGTTGTTGGCGAGGATGCAGAGCAACAGGGACTGTCATCTATAGCTCACACAGAGATGCACAGTGCTAGCGCCACCTTGAAAGACCATTTGACAGTGTCTTATAAGCTAAGTATATTCTTACCATTCAATCCTGCAATCATGTTACTTGCTATTTTACCCAAAGGAGTCAAAAACTTATGTCCACAAAATCCTGCATATAAATGTTTATAGTAGCTTTTTTGAGGTCTTTCGCAGGACCTCAGAAGCCTTTGGCAAGTGGGTGATAAACTATGGAATATCCAGACAATGGGGTGATACCCGGCTCTCAAGGGAAGCGAGCTCTCAAGCATGAAGGAACTTTAAACGCTTATTACTGGGTGGAAAATGCAATCTAAAAAGGCAAAACTATAGGGAAAGTAAAAAGTCAGTGAGTATCAGGGGCTGGGGGAAGGGAAAGTGAAAGAGGACCATTAGGACATGGAAAGTGCGTGACACTATAGTCACTGACAGACTCCATTATGCACTTGGCTAAACCCACCATAACATACCACACCCACAGGTAAACTGAGGTAAACCGTGAACTTTCAGGCATGACGGTGCGCCACTGCAGCTTCTTCAGCTGTAGTGAATATAGCGCTGGGGACACTCATAACTGCATTGAAAGGCAGAAGACATGTGGGCGGTCTGCTATACTGGCCTTTATAGTAGCTGAATTGTGAACTAATCTATTTTACCTATTATTCTGTGACCCTGAAACTGCTCTAAAAATATACAACCTAATAGAATAAATTTAGATTGGATTAAGAAGTTATATAGAAGAAGATTATAAATTTATAACTTAAGTGTGCATTGGTGTGTAAGTTTATTTTGGACCCGAAACAGTGATACAGCAGGGAAAAAACCAATTGGAAGCCGAAGAATCCGGACCTCGGGCTGCTTAGTTTTGAGACCATTAACTATCCACTACAGCAACCTTTATTAAGCACCAACCATGTGCTGGGCATTCTTCTGCACAGTGGGGCTGCAGTAACGAGCAGAACCAGGAGGAGAGAAACACTCCCGTCATGGAGCTGGCACTGTGCTAACCACTAGAGGTAAAGAGAAACAAGCCTCGGTACAACTCAGTACTCTCCAAGTGCTGCTATGCACCTCAGGGAAGGCATTTAGACACCCTTGAGATTTACACTGGCTCTGCTGAGCACACCCGAGCATGGGGGGAGGGGGGGACACGGGATGTGAGATTGTACATAGAGTTCCAAGCAGAGCGCCTGAAGCACAAGCTGTTTAATCTGTTCAAGTTCCCTAAATAAGGAAGAGGAAGAAATAAGTCAGTGACGGACATCTAAGTCAAAATGACCAAGAGCCTGGGGAGATAGCTCAGTAGAATAAGTACTTGCCTAGAAAGCGCAAGGGCCTGAGTTCAAACCCTGGTTCCACAAAAAAAAAAAAAAAAAAAAAAAAAACACACACACACACAAAAAAAAAAACGACCAAGTCAGGGTTCTCCATCCTCAACAAACAGCAACATGATGAAGCACAACTAATTGTCAAGAGGTCAATAATTAATTGTAGTTCACTTGGTGAAATAATTAAGCTATCAACAATGACAAGGACTGGGATAGCACAAAGGTGCTTATTACTCTAAACAACAGTAGGCAAAAATACAAGATTACTGCCAGGTGTGGTGGTGCATGCCTGTGATCCCAGCACCTGGGAGGCTGAGGTAGGAGGATCATTGTGAATTCAAGACCAGCCTGGGCTACAGAGTGAGCTCTAGGCCAGTCTGAACCTCATAGTGAGACCCTGACACAAAAAGAAAAAGAAAAAAAAAAATTACAGGTCAGACTGTAACTCTACAAAAATAATGTATGCTGATGTAAAATATAAGGAAAAATAGGATGATTTGTCAGGATGACAAGACTGGAAGTGAACTGACAAATCTCTATTTCTCCCAATGTCCCGACATATGGTCCCTCCTGGCTACAGGGGGTACCAGAACATTGGCGCTCAGATCCCACATATGGGACAGAATATTTGCCTACAATCTGTGATGTATTCCCACATACTTTTAAGTCATCTCTAGATAACATACAATACCAAATAGGGTAAGAGATGCTTTCTAAATAGCTGTTACACTGTATTATTTATAAAATTGTTTAGGGAATACTGAAATAAGGCTGCACATTTAGTGCAGATGCGATTTTCCTCAGAATGTTTTTGATAGGTTCTGGCCCTAGTATGAGCTGCTGAATGATCATGGTGGTCATCTAACACAGCTGAAGCTCTTAAAACAACAGCTCATCTTCCCAGAGACCACCTCCTGCCCTCTTCTCCAACCCAGCCCAAGGTACAATATCCTTTCACTTTCCCACCACCACAGGAAAGACCCCAATCAGCTCCTCAGATATTTCTAAATATCCCCTCAAATGCCCTCCCCCAGCAAAGGTCCACACAAGCCCCAGCTTTCTCTGTCTCAGGCCAGGACCTACCTGACCCATATGCCCTGCTCCTCTCCGTGTCTTTGGAGTTAACAAAGGCTGCTGTTCTCTTTCCTGTCTCTTTACTGCGCTGCTGGAAAAACCTATCAGTTTTCAATCCATGGCTGGTTTAATCTGTGGATGTGAACCCCACAAATATGGAAGTCCAATTATATTTAGCAATTAGTAAATGGCCTTAAATGACAGGCCCTCTATGCAAAGTGCCCCCAAGACAGCTCCAGGAGGAACTGTTCACATGCTGGGCAACACGACAGCAGGAGCTGTGCTGTGTGGTGCGGGGCTGGCTGCTGGGCCCCCATGTGGTAAGCAGCAGGACTCTTAAGCCAAGAATCCCAAGGACTCCGATTTTCCCATCACAACACTGCCTCTCTCTGCATCCTTAGGTCAGGGCAGGTGACTTTCTCCTTCTAGGGGAGAAGGGAAAGCACAGACCATGACTGGGGCTGCTTTAGTACTTCCTTGCCTTCAGATATTTACATTTTGGTTTAGTGTTTATTTGATTTTTGCGGTACCAGGGGTTGAACCCAGGGATGCTCTACTTCTGAGTTACATTGCCGGCACTTCATATTTTTTAAAACACCATCTGAAGCCGGGTGTTACACATGCCTATAATCCCAGCATAGGGCTGAGGCAGGGGGACAGCTATGGGTTCAAGGTCAGCTTGTGCTACATGATGAGTTCAGAGCTAGCCTGAGCTACAGAGTGAGACCCTGTATCAGAAAAGAAAAAAAAGAAGGAGAAGGAGAAGGAGAAGGAGAAGGAGAAGGAGAAGGAGGAGAAGGAGAAGGAGAAGTAGGAGAAGGAGGAGATAGAAGAAGAAGAAGAAGAAGAAGAAGAAGAAGAAGAAGAAGAAGAAGAAGAAGAAGAAGAAGAAGAAGAAGAAGAAGAAGAAGAAGAAGAAGAAGAAATTAAGACATAATCTCAGTAAGTTGCTAAACTGGCCTTCAATTGAACTTGTCATTATTGTGCCTCAGCCTCCCAAGTCACCAGGATTACAAGTGTCCAGTACCACCTGTGGCTTAAATGTACACTTTGACACTATATCAGTAATCTGAAATTTACTATGAGAGTAGATTCAGCATCTCATAAACACAGTACCTGCATCCAAAGAGGAAGATTCAAGGACAATTAGGAAGCAAAAAATAAATAAGACAATAAAAAAGTTTGAAATCATAAACTTCAGTGTAAGTGACAATAACAATTACCCAAATTCACTCCTGTTTAAGTTTTCATTGGCTCTAGAAGGGCTGGGGGCTAAGAGAAAAAGCTAAAAAGGCTTCTTTTTTCAGCCAAGAGAGGGCAGTGACTTTAGGGTCACCTTCTTAGCTCCGTGCTCACTAACACAAGCTGCCAGATGACTCAGCACAACGCCGGCTGCTGGATGAGTCCCAGATGGGTGGAAGCAAAGCTGGCCTCCTCGGGATCTGAAACTGCTTGTGGTCCCACGGGAGGAAGTTGACCCTGCACAGGGGCAGTTCCTCCTGCCTCCCAAAGCACTTCTCTGCCAGGACATTGACTCTGGAGGGGACTCTCCCACGCTCACAGATAGCTATAGGAAGCAGCTGAGGTCTGGGGAAGAAGCAAAACTAAGAGGAGGGAGGCCACAGTTGAGGACTGGAGCATGAAACCCCGTGGGGTTTACCTAACTCTGAAGTGTGTGTCCTTTCCTAGCGCATAGATGATGACATGGCTGATAAAGGGCAAAACTCAATAACTGATATTCCCTGAGAACAACGAATATGTAACTGCAGTAAAATAATATTAGAA